TCTCTCTCTCTCTTTCTCTCTCTTGCAACACGCGAGGTGTGAACAGCACCGGTTTCAGGGCTTCTTATTTCGCATGTTGCTCGCAGGCGTTCGGCGGGTCCCCCCTGAATTGGGTTCTTTGCTCAAGCATCAACAAGTAAAGATGTTCTTTTTAACCCGCCGAGTCCTGAGCGACTCGTAGATGCATCGTGATTCATGAATGATGCACACCACGGCAAGCACACGGCAGTGCGAGGGAAGCTTTGTCAGCTTCGGTGCATGGTAGATTACGAGCTGCTAGCTGCTAGCGTGTTCAGGACGACGGAGCTTCATGAGACGGCAGAAGTGTCGCATGAGCCTCAGGCACCAGCCGCTCGGGGCTTACCCGGTAGCGATGCATGCCCTCCAGTATCAGTAGCCATGTGAATCTGGCTCCTGCTGAGGATTGGCATGAGCAAACCAGGGCTGTTTCTGGAAACCTGGCCGTGTCCCCGGCTTGACCGAGAATGTTCACCTTCATACATGACCTAATGCATGACGCTGGGTTTCTAAAGAAGGCACAGCTGAGCCTTTTAATAGATTTCGCACCCAAGCTTGCCTCGGCCTCGAACACCTGTCGATCGGTAGCCCAAAGAAGGGAGTGCTTCGTATGACTTCGGAGCTGTGGAGTCCTGGCGGTCGAAGCTTCAATAGCATTCACGCAGTTGCTCACAATAAATGCGGTGAACGGTGATTTATCCTCCAGGTCAGAGTGGAAGCCGGCAACAGATTCGGAGGTTCATCGCTGTCCTGGGTCATGAGCTTCCATGCAAGTGCTGACGTTTCCGCTAGGCGTCACCGGATGATCCCATGGAGCTCAAGACAATTCAGCTCCCATCAGTACAAGGCCACACTGTGAGTTTCGCTAGTGACTGCCGTGTCCCAGCGCTCAGCATATACCGCATACCACTTCGCTTCACCAGTCGGCCCCAACTGTTCCCAATTTGGACGGACCCCAAACCCCAAAGCATCCAAGATGGAGGCATCCACGGGTCGCCCCCAACTGTCTCCTGTGTGTGGCTGTGCAAACAGTTGTTCTGCTTCAGTGGAGGCCACGGAGATGAAGCAAATGGTGCAGTGCACTCCTGGCCCAATTTGTCTGACCTTTGCAACACCTGGCCGCCAGCCGTTCATGGAGCGAGCCGGAACATCGTGACGACGTACTTTACGTGTGCTGCTTGTGGAAGAGCATCGGGTGGGGACTTGCGGCATTGCGACCGGATATCTGTCCGTAATGATGCTTCTGGCCAGGTCTGGAGGGCAGACGGAGGGCAGTCAGGCCTCGACCGGCATCGTAGCAATTCTCAGAATAGACCACGGCCGCGTAGGGCATGTGCTGAAGCTTTTTTTCCGGTTTGTCATCCCGGCATTGCTGCTGATCGTTGATTCACCGTACATGACGTCGGCCATTCTATCAGTGCTCAAGCACTTTCGGGTTTCCATTCTCTCTCACGCTGGTTTGGTGCTGCTTTCTTTGGAGTGCCTTTGGCACAAGGCTTGCTGCAAGAGGTGCACAGTGCTACGCTGAATATCCGACGGTCCGAGAGCTTTAGCCCAGGCTCTTCCCGTACATGGCAGATGCACGACTCCCAGGGTCAAAGTGCATGTTAAGAACACGGTGTTTTCCTGAAAGGCTCATCCACGGCACAGCAATGGCAGCCGTGCTCGGATCAAGCCCTGTGGCCGAGTCCTTAGCCTGGCCATGGTAGGCGAAAGCCTTGGAAGCCTTGCGCTTTGTCTTGGCAGCTTTGCGGCTGGCTGTTGTTCTGCCAATTTCTTTGGCAAACCATGTGAAAGCAAGAAGCGAAGCGGTGCAACATCGGCTGCCAGAAAGGGCCGGGTGCTGCGCAGCAACGGTAACTCCCCAGTCCGAAGCAATTCCTTCACGACTGGCACTGAGCTGACCCGGTCGTTCTCTGACAAGCTGGTGGTGAATGTTCGGACGGCCGTATCGAGAATTCTTTCCAATGGCCTCACCATCCCCCACACTCCGTCGGTCAGGAGCTCCATGCATCTCCGCAAGGAGAACTGGCGCGGCCGAATCTGGTCTCTTCGCTTGGGGGCTGGTGGGTCAACATCGGTGGAGGGCACATTCAACGACGATGGTGTGCATTGGATTGTGACAATCAAGGAACGAGGTCCTGGTGTGGACGTCAAGGCTGTCTTGCTCACCGACGACGGCTCGCATGAGTTGGAGCACGACTGTGGTCAGAGCTTTCATGGTCAGACGCCTTTCTGCGAAGGGTCTGCAGTATTGCAGCTGCACTTCCGCAATCGAAATGCTAGCTTCAGTGAGCGCAATATTGAAGTGAAGATGTTTCTGTTCCGTGCGGGTGCCCGCATAGGTGAACATTCGTTCCTGAAGACTGCCATGCTCATGTGGGTCTCGGAGGTAATTCATCGTACCTTCCAGACGAAGGATGTGAAGCTGAAAGCAGACCATCTCAAGGTGATCGAGGTAGAACGAGTTATGCACTCGGATCTTTGGGATGCATACGTGCAAACCCGCAAGGAAATTTCTATGCAGCTTTCAAGGGAATCGGCAGAGCACTTCCCCCATGCATCGACTTCCACTGAGACGATCGTAGATCAGTGCATCCCGATGCCGCTCGCAAAAGCTGCGAATGAGCACTGGCTCTTCCATGGCACATCTCCCACCAACGTTATGTCCATCTTCGAGGATGGTTTCGAGGATCACCATCGGTTGGAGCATGGATCAGCTTTTGGCTCGGGGATTTACTTCACGGAATGCTCCTCGAAGGCAGACATGTATGCGTCTGTAGCGGAGCACACCGATGTACACGACCATGGGGGGCTTTGCTGCATGCTCCTATGTCGTGTCACGCTTGGCCGTTCTCGGACTTTGAGTTCGGAGTTCCACGTGGACACGGCCAGGCTGAACAATGAGATGAAAAGCGGCAGTTTCCACTCGGTACTCGCAGATCGGGAAAGACTGTTTGCATCATACCGCGAGTTCGTGACTCCAGCTTCCCAAACGTATCCAGAGTTTTTAATCTGGTACGAGCGGCAGCAGAAGTCGAGCTTTCAGCAGTGGAAGGACCAGCAATGGGGTGGAAGCCTCTTCTGATCCAAGCCAAGCCACGAGCGACTCAAAATGAGCACAAATGGCTACATCATGCTACATCGAAGATGTGGAGCTCCAGAATAGTTTTAGGTTGGTCCGTAGTCTGCCTTGGACAGGACATCGAAGATGTTTACTGAGAGGCATCAGTTTGAAGAGGTGTCGCAACACCATGTTTTCTGATAATGCAGCGAAGGAAGCTTGAGCAAAAATGCTACTTCCAGACATCAACTCCAGAGCATGTCTGAGGATGCTCAGAGCTGCCACGTCCGAGGTTCGGAGCCCAACTCCTGTGTGCTGGCCCTGGTGGAAAAGCCTCCTGTGCGACAGCTTGGAACATTCCCGCCCACTTGCCTTTCGAGGCCGAACCTGCGTCAGTGCTACCTGCAAGCCCAAGGGTGCGCTGCCCTGCGCGGCAGCATAGTTTCATGTGCCCAGATTCTTGGCATCAAGGCCCCAGCAAAATGTGGCACGCGACGAACCCCGTGGACGCGAGCCGTGCTACCATGCTCACAAGTTGAAGCAGCAGCTACTAGCCAAGCAGGCGCTTGGCGGTTTCGGAGTTCGATCTGCGAAGACTTTTGGCGGATTCCTGTTCAACAATCTGGACGCAGGCACATGCGGTGGAACCCTTCCGTAAGGTGAAGGGACAATGGGCAGCTACCTCAGCACTACTAACTCTGCATGCTCAGATAGTGGTTTCTGTGCCGGGTCGTGAGAGTGAGATTAAGTCCGTCAGCAAGAGTCGGACCATCCAACCACAGAAGGAGTATTTCGCACAGACGGGGTCCGCAGTCCGTGCTAAGAACCCTGCATTTTTGGTGGGGCTCCCAGATCATTCCAGAATCTTTAGGTGCGTTGTGCATGCTTGCTAGTGCTCGGGTCAGCTAGGTGCAGGAAGGCACGTGCTGAAGCAGAACGGTGCTCACAAGACCCCCAAATTGCCAAGGTCGACTACTGGAGCGAGTACCACAGGCATGAGCTGTAGTACACATGCAGCTTGCGGCGGACTTGCTGCTTACTTTTCTGGGTGGACCTCCGACAGGTGTTGGATCCCGGCGTCGATACTGGATGTTGACCCTGAGCGTGCATCCCAAGTCGTCATGGCGAGTGGAACTGTAGAAGATAAAGGTGCAGTTGTCATGTCGCTTGATGCTAGGTCCGGTGGAATCGTGCTCGATGTAAAGCCTGGTACGGTGAACTGCTCAGAGTTCAGAACATTTCGTGCGCATCTGCTGCAAGCCGAAGACGCCGGAGCCCCGAAGGCCTTGCGCTTGCACGACCAGTGGAAGATTCGTCCCCGGCGAATGCCCACGCCAGAGCAGGCGCCACCCGGAAGTCTCGGGGGGAGCGCCGACTTCCGTCCGATGACTCCCAGGTTTCGGCGGTGCACAGCATGCTGGCCAACGTGGAGCTGGAGCTGCAAGCTGAGAGGCTGGGAACCGCATGTGGCCAGCAGTCACTAGCACGTGTGAGGTGCTGCAGTTTTGTGTGAGGTGCAGTCTTGTCCGGATTCTTTACAAGTACTCGGCCAGGTTCTTCTCTGAGATTGGGCGAGCAAAGACAGAATCCAGACTGGACCTCGATTCCTTCTTCAGGGAAGAGATTCGTTAATGGGAGCTGTATTGCCTTGCCGCTTGCCCAGTTCAAAGCCTCGAAGATGTGATGAAGCTTGGGGACAAGGTGAACTGCTTCGTTGGCCTTTTGGGCTGCCAGGTTCACCTAAAGGCAAGCGATTGCTGAAGAGATTTCGCCCTCCGACTCGGAAGCTTCCTCTGGCAGGTCAAGATGCAAAGCCAGGGTTTCCTGTCGTCATGAGCTTAATTGCGGTATCCTGGCGTGAGTCCGGGGAAAAAGGTCAGTGGCAACAGGGAAGCTTGTCCGGTCGTTGCAGACGTTAGGTTTGACGACTTTCGCATGATCTTCTCGGATGTTGCGCATCTCCAGCAGGACATGTCTGTTCAGGCTCTGCTGGCAGTGTGGGCCTGTGTGTGCTCATCGGGTTCGTTCCCTGATCGAGGCGTTACAGAAGGACGTTGCTGAGACAGCCATTCCTGGCACCCCCGACTCTCGCTACCAGATCTGTGCTTGCCTGACGGAGGAGACTAAGTGGCTGTTAGCAAGATTTCTCACCTCTGAAGGTGGGACACTGGGCAAGGGCACCTACGGTGAAGTTGTCAAAGCAAAGGACAAGCAGACGAGGCCACACTGTCAAGCACCGCAGGGCTTTTTAGGACAGCCTCTGCCCGTGCAGGCAGACACGAGCCATCAAAATCATCAACAAGGAGAAGGCACATGATCAAAGAGAGCCACATAACAAAGAAGAGCGCAACTCGTATCGTCAGGTGCATGGAGACATGGCGTTCTTGAAACAAGAGATTCAAAACCTGATTCAGCTGGACCACCCCCACGTGGCGGCCTCGAGAAGCTGAGTGCACGAGTGACCGTGCTCTCGACCTCCTGAAGCCTCGGGTCAAAAGCGTCAAGTCGACCACGCTGGCTGTAGTGTTGTGCATAACTAGACCCCACCCGCAGCCACGCAACCGTTCAACCACCCAACTGGTTCAACCCAGCCACCTGCCGTCAGCCTTGCTGGGGGTGCTGTCACGCATTTACATATCAGTGTCACTGTCGTCAGCTGATCTGCTTCTAGTTTGATTTCTGTTGCTTTCATTTCGGATTGCTCTTAAGAGTCGAAACTATTGTCTTCAACAACTGCTCTGGCATCGCTTCATACTTGGTGTTGTGTTTTTGAGCTGGCGCAACCTTGTCCAGCAAGAACGCATTTTCTTCGTTATCGCTTCGCGGAAAGTTGTTCTCGTTGTGGAAGTTCATTTATCGGCTACAGTAAATACTTGGCGATGCTGCCCTTAACACCGCGAGTTCCAACGTTGCTGGATGTGCCAGAGGTGCCGTTGACTTTCTTACAACTATTCCGCTGCTGCTGCTGCCGCCGCTACTAGTAGCGGCTTTGCAGTTTCGTTTTTTGTTGTTGCTGCTGCTGCTGTGTTGCCGTTGCGTTGCCGTGTGTTTTGTTTGTTCGTTTGTTTGTTGGGTTTTGTGTCCGGTTGTTGGTTTGCTTGTTTGCTTCATTGGACTGTTTGTCGGTTTGTCGGCTTGTTGGTTTCTGCGTTTGCTTGCTGCTCTTATTCTTGCTGCAGCTACCGTTTCTCATGCTACTGTGGCTGTTGCTACTGTTGCAGCCACTGTTGCTTATGCGTGCTACTTCATGATGCGACCGTTACCGGTTACTGTTGCAGTTGCCTGGTTTTGGTGCTGCTTATGTAGCAGGTTCTGACGTTTGAGTCAGGGCTGCCTGATGCTTTTTCTGGGACCAGGTTCTCAAACTTCTGGAATTTTACAACAGCGAGGACCGGATTTTCCTGGCTCTGCTGGCATGTGTTGATTCTGGCAATGTCGCTGCTACTCAGACTAAGTCCTCTACTGTGCACAGGCATAAACATCGATCTGGAGGTGTTGTTGGTGGCAAGAGTATTACTATCATAAGAATAATAATTATTATTATTACTAGTAGTAGTAGTAGTAGTAGTAGTAGTAGCAGCAGCAGCAGCAGTAGCAGCAGCAACAGCAGCAGCAGCAGCAGCAGCAGCAACAGCAACAGTAGCAGCAATAGTTGTAGCAATAGTAGCGGTAGTAGCGGTAGCCGCAGTGGCGGTTGTAGTAGCAGTAGCAGCAGTAGTAGCAGTAGTGGCGGTAGTAGCAGCAGTAGCAGTTGCAGCGGTAGTGGCAGTGGCGGTGGAGTAGCGGTAGTAGCGCTGGCGGCTGCAATAGGGGTTGTAGTGGCTAATAGTCGTCGTAGAGTGGCCGACAGCAAGCAGTCTGCAGGTAACGGATCATTGCTCTCGTGGCGAGCTGCACAAGCACATCTGCTGCTTGCCCTGAGCAGTCGTTCCTGAGGGGGTTCTGCTCATGCTGCGCTCGAGTCTGGTCCGAGGCGATGCCAGGGACTCGCGGAAGCCCATCCCGCAGGACGGGCTTTGAAAGGTTTCTGTGGAGTACAAGACTTGAACGGAATTTGCCAGGTCTGGATCGCTCACGTTGTGCAGCAGGCAGCCTCTCCATTGAATCGCGGGTTCGGGCGTGTGGGGTGTCTCGAGATCCAAACCCGGTCCCCGAGACCGTTTCGTCACGAGCTCCGCTGTTCTGGCTGACCCCCTGCTCAGCTCCTCTCTGCCGTGACCCACATCCATGCGAACGGTATCATTCACCTGGATGTCAAGTCTCAAAATATTATGCAGGGCTCTTGTGCTGATGCGCACTTGGAACAGCCCTTGATGTGCCATCGGCCCAGGCTGATGCCGGCTCTGGAGACGAAGATGCGCTTCGTCCAAGCCGAGCCGAACGAGGATCGAGGAATTCTCTAATCTGCGACCCTCATGACCTAATGCAGGTTTCTTCGATTCCGAGACTGTGTAGCCGGAGTTGGAGTTTCTCTGCTCGAGGCTGTGTGCTCGATTGACATCTTCAAGGAGTGGCTTGCTCGCACCTCCGACTCCTTCCTGGAGGGCATCGTTCTGGCTGAAAGTATTTTGTCGGGTGAAGGGATTGCACTGTCCCCCCAGCGGCACCGATGTGATGAGTGAACAAGGCTTCCTCACATCATTGTCATCGACCTTGGTGTCGCACCTGCCTTTGCTGCTCTTGCATGTCAGTGGAGTTTTGTGAGCTTGGTGACATGATTTGCCCAGGCCACAATTTTCCAGCCTGGCAACTTCAAGCGTGGCAGCCCCATGGGTACGCCATCTACCATGGCGTTTGCATCTGAGCTGAAGAGCTCGCAAAGACGTGAGTCGTGGTTTTGAGTGTGCTCCTTCGTGAAAGCTGCGGACAGGCCTGAAGTCTGGCGTGGAGAGATCACACCGAAGGCAGTGGACCTAGTGGCGTTTCGAGCCCTCAACGGCAGAAGTTCTGAGTTGAGGCTGATGTTTTCAGCTGCGGCTGTGTGCTTTTCGAACTTCTCAGCTTCGAGCTTAATTTCCGGCGGACATGTGACGGAGGGTCTGACAGCAGGGTTTTGCATGGCAAGGTTTCCAAATGCCCTGGGACTTCAAGTACCGTGGGGCCCCCGGGCTCTCCAAGCTTTGAGTTTGAATAAGAGAGAGAGACGGTTCCAGGCGGGAACAAGCAGGAGGCAAGGAATTTCTGGGAGGCCAGGCCGCGACCTCACTGGGCCAGCAGCCCAGGGCAGAGAAAAGCGCAGAGGAAAACGCGTTCTTTTGCTTGCTTCCTGCTGTTTCGCTTCCAGGAGAGGGTGCAGCGTGCACCGGTCGATGCTCAAAGCCTGATGGCAAAGATGCTGGAGCAGGCCCCCGGCTTCACTTTGCGCCGGCGTCCATTCCTCAAGTTCTTCATGTTGAACGATGCAGCACACCACAACATTCCCGGAAAAGTCCTTCCAAAGCCAGAGACAGTTTCTTTCGTGCATACCGAAACCTTGGCACCCCTGTCTGCCTCATTCCTGAGCCCCAAACTCCCCTACTTTCAGGGAGGGTCCCTTCGAGTGTCAGAGTCTTTTGTCCCAAAGCAAGACACCTTGGTTACAGCCGTCTGGCTATGCCGGCAAGGAAGTCGTGTGTTTGATCCATGGCAGAATGGATCGACGAGGGTTTGATGGCTCCCGAAACTAGCCTCAGATGACAGGCTTCGCACCGATTCACACCAATCCGCGAAACTATGAAGCGGAGCTTGCCAGCAGCAACAGCCGGCAGTTCGAACACCTTCCCAAGTCCATATGTGCAAACAGCCCTCATTCCATCATTTACTCTTGTCTTCAGGAGAGGCCCAAGCGCATGAACGCCGCTGATGGTCTCAGGGAGCCCTTCGTGAGTCTTGCCTGACGCTGAGGACTTGCATGTGTGATCTCTGCGGCCAGGCATGTGTACACATGTGCCAGAGTAGTTGCCTCTTAGCGCCTTTGCAGTTTCAGAGTGCGGCGAAACTGTTGCAGAGCCGGCGTGGCCTTCGCTTTTGCACTTGAGGCCTCGGACGGCATCCCGGTCACACAGATGGACAGCCGTGACATGTATTTCCTGCTCCTGCCTGGCTTGAAATCTCTTCAGGAGAAAGGGCTCAAGCTGATCAACCGCTTGGTGACCACCTGCGAGAGAGATGCAGCTCGTCTGTTTTCGTACCCTTTCCAATCAGGGAGCTGCATCTGCTCCGAAGGCCTTTTACAAGCTCATCTGCCTCAAAATAGCGCAGGCCGACCTCTCTCCAAGCGCTTACTTTCATGTCACTGCGGGACTAGGACTGGCCTCCGAACGAGATGCCTTCCTTCAAGAGTGTGTTCAAAGAGCCCATTCCTCGGGTGCTGCAGTCCTGCTCTTTGCTCTCAATCTGCTTGTGCCTAGGTTTGATGACGAGGGCACCGGTATGCTCCAGGACTCTGTCTTGGCCCGCGCCCTTCAGCTCTGCCACTGAGCCCAGTCGCACCCCGTGGTCTTTGGAAAAGCCGCTCTGCTCAGGTCCGCAAGTTCGTCAGCTGCGGCTATGAGGAACAACAGGCCAAGCGCCGACACCTCGGCGATCCTCGCTGCTGTATTGCCAAGTTTCGCTTAAAAATCCATGAGCTATAGAAGGTGCTGCGGTGGCCATGAATCTCAGCCAGAACAAGAATGCCGTCGCATGGAGCTAAGACCAGCCGTACAGTGCTTTGATCCTTTGGGAGATCTCTGGCGTATGGAGGACTGGACCGAGTTCGTGGCTGCCAGGACCTTGGGCGATGGGTTCATGAAAGTGGGCAAGTGGTCACTACAGCTTGCCGCACCTCTTCTGTGACTTCTAGACTGCTCGGAGAGCGTGTTTAGGCATGCATCGACCTGGGTAACCCGAAGCTGGAACCTTCCATCCATCTTATCTTCCACAATGCCGACAAGGATCCGGGCTTCCGGCCGCAGTTCCAAGTTCTGTCGTGTTCGCCGCACTGCACATTGCTCACCCAGGACAACGATGGTCTTCTTTCCATGGAGGATGTTCAGTCTCTTCTGCCGGAGGTGCGCCCGGCCTGCGTGCAGCCGTAGCCTGTTTCAAATGTGTTTTGTTGTGATTATGACGGTTATGACTTATGACTCATGACCTGTTGTGACCTCGTCATCATCATCGTGTTGATTGACGGCGCGTCTGGGGGGCTCTTCGATTCATAGTGAGATACGAAGTGTTATGCAGCTCCACCAACACTGACGACCATGCTTGCTGCCGCTCCTATGAGTATCTACTTGGTATCTAATAAGCTACGTCGCTGGTCGCGACAGTGGCAGCAGCAAGAAGCACAAGAGTGGCAGTAACAACAGTGCAGGCACCTGCAAAATGTCGTGACAATCATGTATCATCAGATCCCTCCTGTCCCTCTGCAGCTTGCGACTAGGATCTCGCATTGTTCCGACCAGGCCATGAGCCAAAGGTTCTTGGCCCTAAAGGCTTTCGCCCCTCAAATCTACACGCATGAGGCGGTCATCCAGTTTTACGGCTTCGCTTTGCAAACGCGCATGGCTGTGATTTGCCTTGAGGGTCGGCGATTGTGTCTATACTCTCCAACTCCTCTGACAGACGCAGTGGCCACAGACCTGGAGATTCTAGGAAGTGTGGCATTGGTCGTGTCACCCAACAAAATTCACAACCAGACGCTCCAGGCATACTGTGCCAAGTACCCCAACGCTTTGTTGTGTGCTCCAGCGGGGCTGCAGGAGCGACAGCCGCATCTCTCTGTGGCCGTGGTGCTCAGCTCGGGCATGGACTTTCCAACGGATGCAGGGGGCTGGGGCCAGGAATTGGAGGTTTTGGTGACTGCCGGCAACTGCTTCTTCGAGGAAGCAATCCTCTATCACGGCCAGTCTGGGACAATCCTAGTGGGTGATTTCGTCGAGAACCTGCGGCCTGCAACCACCCCCGGATGTTGTGGAGGCCCCCTGGTGCGCGCAGGTCGACTTGCAGGACGCCCCATGCCATCGCCGGAGTTCTGGATTTACACGCACGACGCAGCGGCTTTGGAGAGATCGATCGAAAGAGCTGCCGAATGGGTCGTTCACCGTATATTCCTTTGCCATGGAAGCATCGTCGAAGGTGCAGATGCAGCTGCAGTTTTTGCTGCCGTTGTCAGCGAGTTGGCAAGCTGGGCACGAAGATGGGGGGACTGGCAAGTGGCTGGAGCAGTGGTTCGAGGTTTGTCAAAGCTGCAGTGAGTCTGCTTGAAATTTCGAGCCTCATGTGTGGTCGGGGGTCGTTGTCCCCAGAATTCACAAATGAGCATCCCATAGGCATGAGCTGTCGGGCACCTGCTTGGTCTCGGATGGGCACCTCAATGTGATGGAAGTCAAAGAAGAGTCTGTGAGTTGTGCATCGTATACACTACATGTGAATACTAGGACGTAGGTCATTGCAGCGTGTGATCTTCACAGTTCACTTCGTTTCCTCCCTTCCCTAGCACCTCGTGCCCACAGGCACATCGCAATGCGAGGGAGGCCAGAAGCTTCAAGGGTGACAGAATGCTAGAAGAAAGGTTGAGTGAAAGGAAGCGCCGTGTGCTGAGGCGGCGCAAGGAATCTTCATCCAGATCACCGGCAGAGCGTTCGAGTCCTGGCTCTTCCCGTCCATATGTGAGAGATCAGACCAGACGCAGCTTCAGGTCGGAGACCGGTGGGGAGCGCATGGACTGGCATTCCTTCGTGAGCTACCTACGAAGGCACGTAGCACATCGTAGCACCCCGCTCTCTGCGAGTTTTCTTTCCATGTCCCGTTTCTGTCGCAGGCAAGCACGTGCAGGAATGCCCGAGGAGCCTATCGCCGAGGCTGCGAAGATGAGAAAGGTCCTCTCTCACATGTCGATCGACGCTCTAACCTGAGGTGACTGAGTCAGAGAACTCACCGGATCCGAAGGTCCGATTCTGGTCTAGTCACGCAGTGGAGCACAATGCCAAACTCGGGTACTGCAGCTAACCCTGGTCTGCAGGTCCAAAATCAGGACATCCTCCGCAACGTGACAGATGCGATCCGGGCAACGGCTGCGGAAGCCATAAGCATTTTGCTCGGTCGCCGATTTGCTGTTGCAGCCATGTCGTGCAACAGCACCTGGCCCAGGTACGTTAAGTAGTGTGGGCCACAACTGGTTCGGTGCGAAGGACAGGTAAACCATGAGAAGCGCTTGAGAGCTTGCACCGAGCACGTTTCTACAAGTTTTCATGGAAGGATTCGAGTTCCGAGTGAGGGGCCCAGCCGAGCTTTGATCAGACAGGGAGGTATCAACACGTTGCCCCAGGCGAGGCTATGGCGGCTACGCTGGTTACGCTCCAGGCCGCTGCGATTTCCTCGCAGATCTGGAAAGTGAGTGAAAGACCAATGAGGTCCCCCCGAAGACAAGGTGCTGCGGTTGGAGCCTTACTGGAACACGCTGCTTGCCCTACCAAGTTGCTGCACGGGACTTAGGCACTTGTTGGAGATGGGCTATGAGGAGCCTGCCGTCAATGCCAAAGTCTTGCAATGGTGCAGGCACTTTCTACATTGCAGTGTCTACAGACTTCTAAAGTAAGCAGCTTTCAGTTTCTAGTGCGCAGGCAGCAGAGCTGCACCGCCATTCAGCTGGATGATCGCCTTTATACGGAGCTTGACAGGCCTTTCGAAAAACCTTGTGTTCGTCTGATGTTGTGCTCGTGGCTGCAAAGGCAATATGCCCATCTTCGAGCGAGGCCCATAAAAAAGCTCCGAGTACCGTCTTGTCACAAAGCTGCCTTCGGAGGCGTGCTGCCTCTCCGGGTCGAGCACTTCAGGCAGCAAAGCCAGTGCTGGCGCCCAAGAGCGAATCCGGTTGAGTTTTCTGTGGGTGAAACAGCACAGTCTTGCCACGCATGTTCTAGCCCTTCATCCCTTCATCCACATGCATCCTAGCTTCGAACTTTCCTTGAATACTGTTCATGGTGAAATATTATGAAAGCCACATGACGCTTCAATCGTGAACATTGGGTGCTTTGGGTCGAGGAGTAGCTCACGGTTAAGCATAGTTGCGAGGCGTTTCCCGGTATCTCACATTGCAGCCTATGGTCTTGGGGATTCCGTGTGGGACGCTTTCTCTTTGGCACAGAGCATGTTGGATTTCCAGGATTCCAGGGTAGTGAGTGCAACGAAGATCGCACTGCGCTTGCCAAATCTGCCGAAATCTGCCGAGGCCGGCCTGAATGAGCTTGCTCCTGCATGTGCTTGCCATGGCCTTCGACGGAGTGGAAAAGACTCTGACTTTTCGACTCAGTTCCTGAGTTTAGTCGCAAGAGAGCTGGTGCGTCGAAGGCGGAGGGCGAAATTCGGAGAATTTGCGTCGAACCTTGCGGACTTCCGCCGAATTCGATATATCCGATTCCCCCGCGGCGCCGGCTCAGTTCTCGAAGAGACGCGAGCGGCGAGCCGTTTGAGAGGGGGGCATCTGCAATTTTTGCTATCTCAGAGCTGACTCTGCCTAGGGGCCTTTGGAGGTCTGAGGCCTGGGTCTCGAGATGTCTCGAGGCCCCTCCACGGTGCAGGGGGATGCTTGTACAGCGCCCATCAGCGCCCCCCCCCCCCTGCAGCATGAATCAGAGCTCCTCCTCGGCAGAAAGCCGGGGAGGACCACGGGTTGCCGCTGGCGGCAGCCTCTCTAGAGCCACGGACTTCAACGGAAGCCCAGAAGCCGAAGTTAATCCAAAACAGGCGTCTGGGCTCTTCATCGGCTTTCAATCCTCCCCGACTCGGTCAGGAAAGAGAGCGCGAGAGCGACGTGCTTCTTTCCGGACTGCTCGGGCTCGGCCTCAGCGAGAGTTGCGATTTTTTTTCCTCGCGAGGACGAAGCGAGGGAGAGGGCCTTCGAGAGGCCGCCCCCCAGCCTTCTCCACGTAGAGCCCTGCGCTCCCGCTCCAGGCGGGCCAGACTTTGAGGAATCCCTTTGCAGAGACGTTTCCAGAACAGGAGGCTTGGGGGGGCGGCGCAAGGGGTTCCGGGACTTTCCACAAAATGTGCTGCGCAATCTCAGGATGGCCAGAGCTTGCCCTTTGAGCTCAGGAGCTGCCGGATCGCTGCAAAGGTAGAGGATGCGTACTGATGAGTGCTGGTACAGTCTGCTCATCCCTAAGTCGGAAATTTCTACGGACAGCTTCGCCGATCTTGTATCTTGCAGCCGCTTTCCAGGCTTGGGCCGTGATTTCTGCATAAGCTACTAGCAGCAGACTGCTCCAGCCTGTTCCCTGTTCTCCCGACAAGATGCCTCCTTTCAGATGCAGAACCTGTAGAACCTCTACCATCCAGAGTTCATTCGACTGTGAATTTGAGTTTAAGCAGCAGCCGGTAGCCCATGAGCCATGAGCTGGAAGTGTCGGAGGCACCTCGTCTGTTGTTGCTCTTTCAGGTCTTAGGTGACGAGGTGCATGCTTGCGAGTTTTGCATTCTACATGTGCACTTGAAGGCCTAAGTTGCACAGAGGTGCTGGGCAGAGGGTGGGTTCGTTCTCGCAACGAAGGGAGCTGCAACAGGCGGTGGCGTATCCCAAGACCTATCGTCAGAGCCATGAGGTGGACTTTTCTCTGCCCTCCTTGAGTCTCTCCCGGCCCATGTGACAAACTAACTTGCCAGCCCTCAACATGGCCACCCATTCTATTCTACAACCTGTATTCCGTGGGAACAGATTTCATGGACAAAGCTGCATGAAGTACCTACCTTCTCCACGTAGCAAGATGCTTTGTTTTCAACGCACCACTTTCACCATGTTGCCTTCTCGATGCTGGCCGAAGGCGTCTGAGCCCGCAGAAGGAGGCTGGCTGCTGGGCACGGGGGAAGCCTTCACAGCTCTGCTTCACTGAAGTCGAGTCATCGCCTCTGAGCCCTTTGAGCGGGTGAGTTGGGCGTCCAGGCCCGGACCTCCGACAGGTGGCCGAAGAGCTTAAGGCCGACCAGGGCTTCCGGAGCCAGGGTTTCCGGAGCGAAGCAGAAAGCCTCCCACAAGCACGGCGAACCCCATGCAGCAATTCTTGTTCTTCACAGGTTTTTCTAGGCATCCTTGTGCTTGCGGTTCCCGGTTTCTTTGCCAAAACCTTCATAGAGCGCAGGTGTTCGGGCTTGAAGCTTTCAGGGGCAAGTCCTGGCTTTGTTCCCAAACTAATGGGCGGTTGTTTTCGATACACTCTGGCATGCAGGACGTAGGAAAGTATTGTGTTAATGGCTTCATAACGACGCAACCCCGAAACCGAAACAGGTTAAACATCAACCTGCGTTCGGCTTCTGTTTCGGCTTGTTGTTTTGCCGAGGGGGGATGGACCCCTATGGCTTGTGGCGTTTTGGGCTTCATACTTCTGTACACGGGGTTGAGAATCTAATTCCAATCCGTCATCTGGTTTCGTTGTGAAAGAGTGAGTAGTACAGAATCGAGCACTTCAATGCAATGGTTCGCGATTCAAGCAGTAGCGGATTTAGACACAGGCAATTCGAGCACTGGCCGATTGGAGCACTCAATTTGTCAAGCAGGGTTTAGGGTTTGAAGGTTGCAAGTGTCTGGTTGAGGGTGTCGGGTGTTTAGGGTTGTGGGTTGGAGATATTCTCTGGTTTGGGGTATGGTATGACCAGCCAAGGTGAGGCGAGGGTTTAGGGTTTTGGGCTGTAGGGTTTTCGGGTTAAGGGTCATATTGTTTGGGTCTCTAAGGTTCAGGCTTTAGCTAGGGTTGCTTGGTCTCAGCAGTAGGCCCGGGTTGGCCTGTTCTGAATTCAAATCCACAACATGCTGTAGCTGGCAATCCCTCATGGTTTGCTTTGGAAAGTTGAGCAATGTAGAGTGGTCGTTCCTGCCTAGTCGAAGGAGTTTGTACGGCCTCCTCGTCCTACACCGAAACGCTCGCAGATCCGTTCGTGCAAATCCCTGGTGCATGACTCGTGTCGAATCCGCCACTTCCAAAGCGCCACTTCCAAAGCGGAAGGCTCGATGCAAGATTCCGAGCAGTGTGCACAGTGCGTGAATCCGCTGTGCACGAATCTTTGTTCCAATTATGCTCACTTTTTCAGCTTGCTAGTCGGCCAATCCAGTGCACGAATCTTTTCTTTGCCTTTCCTTTCGGATCTTTGGCTGGGTTTTTGCCCAACGCACCAATCATTTCGCTGTAGGACTCCTTTGTGGTTGGGGTTTCTCATCCATCATGTCATACCATTTCCTTTTGGGGTTTTGGGCTCTGTGGGCTTCTCAGCAGTTATTCTTGTTTGATGAACTCGGGGGCTAACTTTGAAATGTCTCACTATGTTCACGATTTTTGATGGCAGCACATCTTCTCTTGCATTTTCGTCTCACCAGCATACATCTCCTGGAGAATAGGATTTTCACCGTTTGGGGCTTCCCTTCCGGGCTTTCCACTTCTTTTTGAAGGGGGGACTGGCCTGCGGCACAGAGGCTGCAGCCTATGCCTGAATTTTGCTCTGCAGTGATTCGTGAGACGCGGATCCAGGCAGAGGGCGGCAAGCACTTTCGCAAGGGCGACTTGGAGGTCGGAGGAGGAGCGGTGTCCCACTGCGCGTCACCGTGGGGCATCAGGCGGCCCTGGACTGCTACGCTTCGGCGCTGCAGAACCTGGGAAGGCAGCAAATTTCTGGTCGCTGCCGCTCTTCTGAAGCTCGGCTATGCTAGGTCTGGCTTGGTCGATGCGACCCTGCAGTCGACCTTGTCATCGAATCAGGTGTTCGGAACTGCACTGCTTCACAGCTCTGTCTTTTAAGTTACCGCGGAGGCTCTCTGCTTCTTGAAGCTGTCACGATTCCAAGAGGCCGAGGTGCGGCCCGGCCGGAGCCGAGCCTTTCTGCGTTGAAAGTCCGCGATTCACGACGGAAGGAGAGTGCATCTGCAGCCTTGGTTGCCGACGCATCCAACAGCAAAGCAGCGCGACTCTCTGCCTTCGGCCAGAGGCAAGGCCAGCATAGCCCTTGTTAGTCCCAGGTCTACCGGCGAGGCTTGTCGCGCCTAAATCTGGGCGACCCTCGCGGTGCTGTGGAGGACGGATCTGGACCGCCATTGTCATGACATGTGCGGGTAGTGCGGCTGCCCAGGACTTTCAAAAAGCTCAAAGGCAGCGGCTGCTTTGATTCAAGCGGGATCTTTCTGTCAGAAGACAGCTGAAGCCAGTGATCCAAGAATGTCGCGAGCATCCTATCAGTCAAGAGAAGTCCGGAGCAACCAGCAACAGGGCTCACAGGTAACAGCAATCTCAGACGTAGTTAGAGCAAAAGGAGGTCACTTGGTTTGTGTCTTGGGGTTTTCCCAGAACTTTGATGGCAGACTCTGCAGGCTTGAGCCTCAGAATGTGGAGGTTCGCCAAAAGCTTTTCGAGGCAAGTGAGAGCTGTGGAACAACAGTTACATGCAGATCGGAGCTGGAAGCCTTGTTATCCAGGCCAAGCAGCAAGCAGACACAGCCGTCAGCTTAGCTTGAATCTTGAAGCGGTCCGCATCGTCCTACCAGCCCATTGCTGTCGGCAGGTTCCGGTTCCTGACGCGGAAATCGCAGTTGCTGCCGGGGCTACAAGTGCTTTCGGAAAGGATGGAGGATTGTGCCACGCTGAGAATCCACAGAGATCTGTGCCATTCATGCTATTCTGGAGTGTTGACTTCGAGGTACAGTGAGAAGTTGGACCTGAACGAAGGAAGGCTTGCGCAATCCTTCAAGGAGTCCTCTGCCTGTCGGGGAGGAAGCTGCCAAGATTCGCCGTGGATATGGGAGGAGCAGAGAGACTGGGTCAACACCATAGAGAACTGGTCAGAGATCAAAGAGATCTCCTTCGTTGACGAAGAAGATAAGAACGTGGTCTCCGTCTACATGTCCTTGTACGGGACCTCGGGGCCCCCTTTGGAGTGTGATGAAAGGCAGAGACCGAGATCTCAGCCAAGGCCTGGGCTACACGAGATCGCTTTGAACAAGGTCTGCGTTTGGATGACGGCCACCACGCTCGAGGCTTCTCCTTTTAGTCTTGTCCTCTTAATTCCCGTGGAGCTTCCGCCAGAAGTTGTGCAGGTTCGCGTTGTCGAGCTGCGGGGATCGAACTGGTGACACGCCCACACTTTTTGCGGGACCTCCAAGCATCGGGCGAGCTTGCTCGTACGCCAAGCGCTAGGTGCTATGTGGCACAAGAGCTATGGGGCCAGATAGACCCGCAGTGCAGACCCAAGTAGCATCTCGTGTCGCGAAGATGTTCGTGTCCATTGATCTTCTTTTTGAGGCAGTCGACGTGGAAAGTGCGCAAGGACAAACTTTCCTTGAAGCTGCAGAAGCGCGCAAGCGCTCGTAGCCCGACGCCCGGGCAGGGATCCAAGCACAGCCTTTCCACTCGTTTTCGTGGGCCTGGCCGAGGCTGGGATCGCTGGGAGAAGATACGCCGGATCTGACGCCCCTGCAACCCGGAGAACCGGCAGCCGGCAACGAAAATCTCGCACTCGCACATGCGTATGTCACCGTGTGTCCTTCAAGATCCTTCAAGCTAGAGTTGCTGCCTGTCGGCTCTCCGCCATGCGGCAAAAGCCACGCAATGCTTTGCGTGCAGCTGACGAAATCCTAGTGCTTCAGATGCCTTGCTTCTGACCGCTTGTGCCTTCTTGATGCGTTCCATGCCTGACTTCCGTTTGTAGGACCATACGGCGAGCCCCAGTGGGCGAGGCGGCTGGCAGGCAGCAGACATGCTGCAGCAGACATGCTGTTAGTCTTTGACATGTTTTGTGCTCATCCCCGGCAGGCAGTCTTTTGAGGACACCAGCTTTCCAGTAAGCACATGCAACACATGGCCTGCATCGCGAGTCTTGGCAAGCCGCGAGGGTCTGTGCCCAGTTCTTGTAGCTTCGATCTCATGCGCATGCGTGGTCAGCAGGACGACTTCCACCGCTCCTCTTACATGCAGACGCTTCGTCCCATGGCGAAGATAGCAGTAACTGCGGTGAGTGGGCATGTTAGCTGACTGCCATGTCAATTTCTGCTGTCTAGAGCGTGAAGACGGATACGCAAGAAGTGTCGGTGCAACAGCACTGGCAACCTGCCAGGAAGCTGTCTGGTGTCAGGCGGAGGCAAGGACCTGTCGCGAGCAGAGGTCAGTGATGTTTAGTCAGACCGTGCTCACGCTTGGCTCTTGTGACGTTGCACCCGCCCTCCACGCCGTTTTTTGCTGTTCTCCTTCCCTTGCAAAGTGCTCTGCAGCAATGTGCCGGCGCTCAGCTGCCTTCGCGGTACGCGAGTTTGCCTGCTCTCCTGTGTCCAGACCGTTCCGGACCATGTCCAGATGGAGACACAGCAGCCTGCAGGAGGACGTGGGGGATTGCTTTACTCGATTTACGTATGCTTCGGCGCGCGCTCCACGCATGGGTGATCCGTGGCCTAGTCTTGGCCGCGGCACCTGAAGGCCAGAAAGGCTGGGAAGGGCTGGGACCCAGGGTGATGCTGAGCGTCATCACACGGAACCGTTTCTGGCGGCACGCGCTGTCCACCTTGTCTTTGCGGAGCTCGGTGGAGAATGCACAGCAGGAGCTTCCCGACCTTTACCTCGAGTGGCACCTGATCGATGATGCAAGCAGCGGAAGCAAGTCTTCAGAGAAGCAGTCCATGATCCAGGAATTGGTTGAAGCAGGGCAGATTAGAAATTTTACAAGGATGTCCCGACACCTGGGAACTGTTCGAGTCCTGGCTTTGGCTGTTGAAACGTTTCTCAGCAGAGCTGACCTTGACTTTTTTCTTCACTGCGACGACGACATCTTGATGGGCCGGACAACAGTCGTGCGTGCCCTCAGGGACTATATGACTGATATATCCAACGGTGGGATTTTGGCGCTCTTTGTGAACTCCTGGCTGGATGACCAGCTATCGCATGCAGATCCAGCGTTTGGACCGTATGCGGTGGCCCCCTTCCTCGGTGGTGCTGCTTACATCGTAGATCGAAAGACTCTGACTGTGACCGGAAATCCCTGGGCACAAGCGATTGCCAGCAACAGTCGAATTACACCCCACGAGGCACATGTTTACTGGCTCAGGCAGTTGTTGCCATCCCGGGGTCAACAGATATGGGTGAGATGGAAGCAACCTTACGAGTGTCAGCACTTGGGGAACGTGAATACATTGAACTTTGGGAAGCAGCCTGAGTGGGAGCCCATGTGGGCTATCGACCACGAGTCGAAGCGTATCGTGGAAGTTCCCGGCTACAAATCTGCTGATGTTCGTGCTGCGCTTTGGAATGACCGCAAGCTTTTGCCGGACTATGTTGCTTTCCAGAATGCCAAGATGCGAAATCCATTAAAACAGCTTCCATCCACCGCAACATCCGGCGCATGGTCTCCCTGGGCCTACCGCAGGCGTCACCTCAACTACTTAGAGATTGGAACAGCTGACTTCGACACACTGCTGTCTCGGCATGTTTGGCGGGAGGACGTCCGTGGAATCTCTGTCGAGCCGTTGAGGATCTACTTCGACAGGCTGCCATCTCATGGAGGTGCTAACAAGCTCCTGCTAAACGTGGCCGTGAGTGACTACGACGGTTTCGACACGCTCTACTTCGTTCAGCCTGAGCTGGTCGGGCCGCACCGCGGGTCTGAGAACCTGTGTGACCAGGCGCAGGTGTCAAGGCTGGGCCTCGACGAGTGCCTTCCAGGCGCGTCGCTTGCGATGGCTTGCGAGGGCTTGCAGCACATGGTTTTCCATGTAGACTGTAGATATCTGTAGATGTTTCTAGATGTGGAGACGTTTGGCTGTCTGCAGGATGGGTCCGGGGCACCTCCTCTCTGAAGAGACCACCTGAGGGTGTCCGGCAGTTGCTGGGCAAGCGGGCCATGGATGTGATGGGAAGGGTGCAGGTTCCTTGCATGACCTACGAGACCTTGCTTACGGTGTATGGCATCGGCGCCTAGGCTTTACTCAAAGATCTCTCCAAGCTCATGTCGGAACGTGTCTTTGCAATTCTATGACGGCCGCCCAAGCAAGGTTCCCTGGATATACTGAAGATAGATGCTTGGCACACTTAGTGACTCTTTTCACCACTGTCACGAAGCACGTGCTTCCTTGGCATCCGAGGATGCCGAAGGCTTCGATGCCAAGATCTTGCGTCAGGTTCTCGAGCTTGGCCGCAAGCGGGGTCTCTGGCCGTGGCAGGCAGTCACTGTGGGCCTGTGGGCGTGCGCGTGCGCCTTTGGGTTGTGAGGGGGTTTGCGGGCAGGTTCAATTTGAGAAGAACATTCTGTCGGACTGGGAGATGTTGGATGCGCAGGCCCATCAGATGCTGATGTTGGACAGCTGCGGTGTAGTTTCTCTGACGCTTTCGCTTGCTCAGGTGATCGAACTCCACCGGGAAGGGTACCGCTGTCGCATGACCGACGTAGAAGTAGCGACGTGCTGGCGCGAGTGAACAGGACGACGGCGCGCCGTGGAATCAACATGACAATGCACAAGGATGTGCCGCACAGGCCCTCGAAATGCTTGACGTTCATTCTGTGCCAACTGCCAAGTGCAGAATGAACTGTCGACTTCAAGATCTCAGAGATTCAACCGCATTCTGTGGCTTCGTGGCTTTATTCCACATGATGCCCTCCAAGGCCAAGATTTTGGCGACACTCGGAGGGTTTATGTTCTTCGGCAATGACGGCAATGGTGAGAAAGAAGGTTGAGGGCAGGCATTGCCGCATCCGTTACGAATGGTCATCCGATTTCTGCGGCCGCCTTCCTGGAGCTTCCGACCGGGGCCCCGAGTGTTCCAAAGAAAGCACTTTGCAGCAGCGGAGCTGCGTACTCTCTCCCCCTTTTGGGTGCCTGAGAGGCTTTGACTCAGAGCCGCTGGACGATGCCATGGAGCTGCGGACCTTGCACCGGGACGATGCCGGACGCCCAGGGGCATAGTCCTAAAACTCATTGGAAAGTGTCACGTCTCCGTCTCAGGTGGCCGGCCCTCCACCTGATCCGCCTTTACCAGGCTGCGAACATTGCGAGTGACAGAAAGCCCCTGCCCGCAAACTCGTCCTTTGCAGTCGCAGAAATCGCCGCAGCAGACGGTCTGGAAGCCGAACCAGAAGGCCACCGCACCTTTCACCAAAGTGGCCCGACAGATCGGCCAGCCAAGGCCTCGCGCTGCGGCAGAGTGGGCAAGCTCCTTCATCAGGCGGCTTGTTTTTCTGGGACACATCGCTTTGTGGAGCGCGGCTCTTTGCCAGGCGAGGGTCAGTTTGAGGCTTCAGCTTCTCCAAGAGGCCCTGTCCATTTTCGCTTATGGGCTGGACGGTGCAGCGGCCTAGCTGGAAGCGAGGTGATGTCGCTTCAGCCACCACCCGGATGGATGGCGAGGTGCATTTTGCTCGAGGTATACATGGGGCTTTGGTATCCTTTTGCCTTTCGAGCGAGGCCATGTTGGGTCTCCGGACTCCGGACCTCAGAGATCGTGCCCTGGCCGAGGAGCTGGAGGCCGAGTGCGAGGTTCTGGAAGCGGCGGCGCAGTCCTTGAAGCTCTCGCGGGGGATCCCAGGTGACCGGGAGCCTAAAAGCGGTGGGCGGGGGGGGGGCGGGGGGGGGGG